CCTAGCGGGGTTGCCCCGCGTGCTTACCTGCACCAGCTGATGCGTTGCGAGCCCTTACGAGGTTTACGCTGCCTTACGGTATTCGGGGTTGCGACCGGTATCCCGACGCTCCTTCCGTGGCGTGTGCCCGCCAAAGTTTGTCTGGGCACTGCATGCTGCCGACACGGTGGGTCTTCAAGCGACGCGCTGAGGGCGGCGATCGCGCGCGGCGGGGTGCGCGGAAATCAATGCGGGGCCGCGCTGGTGCATCGCGGACAAAGAAACACGGGGCAGGGAGCGCCGGTGGCATGCGTGTGCATCGCTTCGCTTGGGTGCCCACGACACTCGAAATTTGCGCAAGCGCAGGGGGAGTGGCCTGGCCCAGGGTTACACGGCATGGAGCCATGCTGTGAACGGCGTAAGCGAGGGGGCGTTTGGTCGGGCCGCCATGGAGGAGTTAAATGCAGATCATGGTGAATCGGGGGACCCGGCCCCGGTGGTGGTGACGCACCTGTGCGGCGCTCCGCTATGTGTTGTCAGTACTGGCGTGCGCCATTACATACCGCTCTGAGCGTTATATCGAATCCAAAACACGGCGACGGCGACCTCTCGACATTATCTGAACAGCTTCTACTCCTTACGCGCTAGGCGGATCATGGAGAATCGGGGTATCTGGTCCCAGTGGTGGGGTGGACGGCGCACGAGGCGATATGGACAGATTGCTAGCCCATGCGTAGCGCCGAGGAGCGTCCCGTGAAGCCGAAAAGGATCGCGAGATTTATTCGACGTGGGAGTCCCTGCACGCCGGGAAGTCCAAGACGAGAAAACAAACTCGGCCCGTGTGCTTATCCAGTGCACGCGTCCATGTACTCGGTGTGGCATGGACGCCTTGTAGGTTCTGCGGCGGGATATGATGATCAGAGGGGGCAAATGAACGAGCTGCGGCGCTGGGGGAGTAAACGGAAGATCATTTTGGGGTTCTGATCCATCAGTCACCGCTGCACAGTGCAGTCATGAGATGGTTTGGGACATGACAGCGTCGTGGAACGGCGAGTCGCCCGCGCGCCTGAATCATGTACTACGGCGCGTGCCGGGTGATTCGCGTACATGGGTCCTCGAACCACGGCGGGAATCCTGGCAAGGCAAGGCGCGCAAAGTGGATAAATGGGCGGTCGTGAGGGCCGTCGAAGCGCGTAGTGGAAGGTGAAGTGATGTGGAGAACCTGTTGTGAATTCGATACAATGCTTGCTGGGGTATGTAATGGTGCACGCGCAGTAAGTCACTTACCAGGACCCGAGGCCCCGGTTGGGTTCGGGTCCCCAGTGGCGGACAGCCTGAGACAGGAGCTAGATCTTGAGCTTGAGCTTGAGCTTGGCCAACGGCACGTGCACGTGGAGCACCGCGCCACCTCGAATCTCGATCGGCCGGTGCGATGGGAACGGGCCTGAGCGAGCTCGGATTCACCGCGCCAGGGCCAGACCCGCGGTTACGCGTCGCCTCTGCTTGACGACAATCGCCCACCAGCTACTGCAAGTGAGCGCCGCGATACTTATATCTGTCTCTCCCAGGTCTCTGCTCGGCCGTTCCTACTACTTACGGGATTGCAAACTCGGCTACTACGCCTCAGGTGCTACTGCTGCTCTGGACTGTGACGCGGTGGTGCAGCTGGCTTATTTACGTCCGTGCTCCAGCGAGGCAGATTGTCATCGTCAGCAAGAGGCTGTTCGAGGACGGCGCGCCGCGAGCGGGCTGAACTCTAGATCTCGTCCGTTAGATCTTCCACTGGGCGCACCAGCTCCAGGGGTGGTGCTCAATCCCATCAGTGTCCCTAGGACCCTGTTTACGGTGCGTGTGAGCACGCGCGGCGGCGCGCCAATCCGCCGTGCGCACCTGCCTCTTTCTCTCCTTCTCTTACTCCGTGCCCTTCTCGCCCGCGGTGCGCTAACGGCACCGCCGTTTCTTCGACAGGCCTCTGACCGATAGATCTCGAGCCTGCGCGCCCGCTTCGGGTTGGTCGGTTAGCTAGTAGCTGCGCCCGCCGTCTTGGGACTAGGGCTGGGGCCGGTTGCTGCATAGCGTAAGCGCACGCGGGCCCGGGGTACATAAAGTGCGGGGGCTACGCGGACTGGAGACGCAATTGCTTGGCTACTTCAATCTATACTCACTGCAACCACTGAACTGAAGACGATGGACGCGAACACGAACACACGCGCGAGTGCGGTGCAGGGCGGCCAGCCTGACCAGCCCGGCCCGACGCTCGAGCAGCACTTGTACGACGAGCTCGTGCGTGCCGTGCGCGGGCCCGTGTACCGCCGCGGCGACCTCTTGTGCGTTGTTCTCTCTGTGGCCGAGGAGGCCAGTGCGGTACTGACGCCGCCGCGCAGCTTCCACGAGCACACGCTCCTCTTCAACGGAAATATCGTCAACCCCGCGCGCGCCGTCGTGCTCCCGCTCGACGCGCACGACGTCTCCCAGTACGCCAGTGCCCGCGCGCTCTTCCCCGCGTCTCACCCACCCCACACCATAGGACCATCATATTCTGCAACAAAAACAAGTTGTCGCCGTCGGTCAAGGCCGGCGGCTTCGGCACGGGCGGCTGGGCCGTCAACGGCGACATCGTGCTCGACCTCGCGCGCCTCGCGGACGTCGATCTGCACGCCGGCGGCGCGGGCTACACCAGCCTGCGCGACACGCTCCCGCCCGCGGCGAAGGGCAAGGCCCGCGCGGGCGCGCCAGTGCCCGACCCGGGCCCGGGGCCGCGCAAGCGCTCGCGCGACGCCGACGACAGCCCTGTGCGCGAAGACGCAGAACCCGCACCGGCGCCCGCGACCGCCGACCGCGCGCTCGGCGTGCGCGCGTACGACGGCGCGAGCGCGACCATGGCAAGCTTCCTGCACGGGCCTGCGCTCCCGCCCGACACGAGCGGCGACGCGCCGCGCCGCCCGGCCGCGACGCGCCGCCGGCTCAACGACGCGGGGGACGCGCTCGGGCTGTCCGTCACGCTGCCGCTGCCGCCTCTGCCGCTCGCCGCGCGGGAGCTGTCCGGGAGCAGCGGGAGCCTGAGCGCGAGCTCGAGCGGCAACGCGCCGTCGACCGCCGCGACGACGCCCGCGGGCGCGTACGCGCCCACGCGCCCGGACCCGTTCGCGTATATCGATGGCATGTCGGGCGATGCGGGTCCGGGCGGTGGCACGCCCGGGTGGCGCGGCGACTCGGGGGAGGGCGACGCGGCGCAGAGGGTCCTCGCGCCGCAGCCGCCGCACCCGCACGCGTACGTCGTGTTTGGCGCGGGCGCGCGGCAGAAGGACGTCGACCGGTTCTGCGCGGCGCACACGCTCGGCGGCGTGCCGTACCACGTGCCCTTGTGCGTGCACCGCCACAATTGCTGCTTGCGCGTCTATCTATGCTGATGCCGATGGGTGTATGCGGTAGCTCGGCGCACCCCGTCGGCGTGTCGGTGATGCTGCTCGGCGGGTTCGGGTTCCTGAGCCGCCTGCATGGGCTGAGCATCGACAACCTCGTCGAGGCGGAGGTCGTCCTCGCGGACGGGCGCATCGTCATCGTGAATGAGAGCGAGCATCCCGGTGCGTGATGCCCCCTTGTGCGTGCGTGCGGTGCGCGGGCTGAGTCGGCGCAAGACCTCTGGTGGGGCCTGCGCGGGGGCGGCCCCGCGCTCGGCATCGCGACGCGCTACATCGCGCGCGCGTTCCCCGTGCCCGTCGTCTTTGCGGGCAACCTCATCTAGTACGTCCGCGCGCCGCCTTGCATGCCTGCTGAGTGCGCTGACGCAGCGCCCGCCGGCCCGCCGGCAGCCGCTTCCACCGCGCGACGGCGCCGTCGCTGCTGCGGCACTTCCGCGACTGCGTCAAGGGCGCGCCGCGCGAGCTGTACGCGAACGTGCTGCTTACCGCGGGCCCGGCGGACAAGGACTCGCTCGTGGTGATCCAGATGTGCTTCGTCGGGCCGAAGGAGCGCGGGCTCGCGTACCTGCAGGCGCTCAGCGCGTGGGGCGGCGAGCGCTGCCTGCTCGCCGAGGTGCACGAGAAGACGTTCCTCACGCAGCAGGACAGCGTCGCGCAGGTGCTGCGCGGGCGCCCGGGCAACCAGTGGTTCATCCGCTCCGCGCTCATCAGCGCGCTCCCGGACGACGTCATCAACAGCACCGTGCTCGAGTTTGCCGACACGCCCGTCGGGTGCAGTGAGTGCCGCCCCTGCCCCTGCCCCTCCTCCCCGTCGCCGAATTGCGCCCCGGATGCTGACGACGAAGCGCACCGTGCAGCGTGGCTGTTCGAGCTCGCCGGCGGCGCGATCGCTGACGACGCGGACGGCACGTGTGTGCCCAAGACGCAGCGCGAGGCCGCGTTCACGATCGCCGCGCTGCACCAGTGGGAGATGGGCGTCGACGATCCGCGCTGCGTCGCGACCGCCGAGGACGTGCGTCCAACTTCCTACCCCTCTCTCTCACCCGCTCCCGCGCTGACTGCCCCGGGACACACACAGTGGCTCCGCGAGACGATCCGGCCCGTCGCGTGCGGCGGCTCGTTCCCCTCGGTGCGTGCGCCGCCGCCGACATGACCCCCTGCTGATGCGCAGACGCAGTTCTTCGGGCGGCGCGAGGCGCCCGCGCGTGTCCGGGCGTCGTTCGGCGCGAATTGGGAGCGGCTCGTCGCGGTCAAGAAGCGGTACGACCCCACGGGCGTGCTGCGCAACACGTTCTGGCCGCTCGACAGCGACGGCGCGGAGATCGACCCGGCCACGCACGAGCCCGCCGAGCCTGTCTTTGAGCTCGCCGAGAACCTGTGATGCGGCGCGGATACTGAGACGTGATCTGAGTGATGCTATCTATCCACGCAATCCTCTTCTGCCTTTTGCCTTTTTTTTTTTTTTTTTTGCTCTGGCTGTAGTATACGAGATGGTGTTTTGTGCCTAATGCCGTGCTTTAGTACTGGTTCCAGACTTACGGGAATACGTAGATGCTGAATGTTCAGATTGATATGCGCAACGGGGACCGTGCCCAATATGGGCACATGGTGTAGTTGGTTTATCACGCTCGCTTAGCATCGGGCAATTGCGAGAGGTGTCCGGTTCAATTCCGGATGTGTCCAAATTGCTTTTTCTTCTTCAAACGATCCACCGAGTTACAGAGGCACCGGACGACTAACCATGTTAGGACGTGGGGCTACAGTTCGTCTCTCGCATTGGGACGTAAGACAGCCCCCGAGATGGATGCGAACCAGACTTTCTGGTCGCGTGGGGAAGCCCATTCCTGCGTGTGACCTGAGGGATGGTGTCTGAACTTACACGCAGCAGAGGCTTCTCTGACGACGACGCACCGCCAAAGAACGTCTGGAAGTGTCCGCCACGTATTCGCGCAGCTGCATCGTCGCACAGGGCGACGCCGTCGACGCGCAGTACCGATTGGCCGTCGACAAACACCTCGATCTCGCCTAGAACAATTTGAGTTATCAAATCGAGATCAAAACGACAGTCGCACTCACCATTCTGCGACCCCACGTCGTTCAGCTTTGCGCGGATGGCTACGGCCATCCACCGACCGGGTTCGAACTTCCATACACCACGGCCGAGAGAGAAACCGTAGTCAGAATTCTCGTGGGAGCCCGGGACAGCGCGCAAGCGTTGCGCGTTTGCCTCTGTTAGCGGGAGATACGCATAGAGCTCGCCGACGCCGTTCGCCCTGCGCACTCGGCGGTCTCAGCAACTGGGGTGAAGGTCCGAGGCGCATTGCCTACCGCCACATCAGACGCAAGTTGAAGCAGCGGCAGCGGTCCTCCTTCCGGCCGCCCGTACAGCTGTACGCCGAGTCGCCAATGCCGCCGTCTGCGCGGCGCGCGTTGCGATCAGTCTCGCCACGGGGTGTGCGGAACGATGCTCACGCACATACACCGGGGAGCTTCCCACCTTTCGCCCACTGGAAGCCATCCTCGAACAGCATCTCGTAGCCGACGACAGCCTCGCGCGCACCTGCAGCCATAGCATCGGCGAAGGCTTTTGGCCCTGCGAGATAGAAGCCAAAGCCGCCTTTCACAACCCCTGTTGGATTAATGCTGCCCTTTGGGTAGAGCGCTTCCCATGCATCCCTGTCGTGTACGTGCACTGTCGGATGCAGCAGGATCTTTGGGTTGTTGACCTTGTGCACCCCAAGGGCTGAGTCTTTCGATATCGGGACGTGCGCAATTTGTGGGCGTGCGGGAAGGTTATGGTTTGTCGTGAATCCCACAAGGATAGTATCCCGAGGGATGGGTAAGACTGTTGAGTGCATGTTCAAGAATATGTCAATAAGTGTTCGTGCCAGGCCGGTCGCAGGGACGCTGACTGCGGTGGAGGAGCATTCGGGCCGTTTACCACGCTCGGGCCGCTCTGTCAGGAAAGGGAAGATTCTTCTCACAGTCGACCAATTGCTGCTTACACCACGGCGATGACCTTCGTGTTTGTGCTTGACCATCACCATCTCCAAGTCCGAGGCAAGACTGTGACTGGTAGACCATCCCGGTCATGTCAACTCGCGACTCGGAAAATGGGCTTGAGGAGGAGACGCCGTTGTTAACCACAGATGACGGGATTCATGCTCCGCGACCTGCGAAGACCCCATTACCTCTGAAGCAGGTCTTGCCTCTGCTCTCGCTCGACGTCGTAGAATATATCGTCACATCCTCAATCATGCCTTACGTCAATCAGGTGAGGGTGCAACGTTTATGGTCTCGTTCCCGCTAATACCCTTACTTGATAGATGGTCAGAGAGCTTCCGGGCGTAGACGAGCGTAGCGTTGGCTACTATTCAGGAATGATTGTGCGTACCATCGAGGCCCAACGCGTTATGCATATCAACTGGAGCTAGGTTTCTGTGCTATTTGCAGGAGAAGCTGTCGCGGTGTTGTTTTGGAGCCGACTCTCTGATAGGATCGGCCGCAAGCCTGTCCTTCTGGTCGGCGTCGCTGGGATGATCATACCTGTCCTGCTCTTCGGACTCTCTCGCTCTTTCTGGGCACTTCTCATGACGTATGTCTGCGTCAGCTCATTCCTATCAGAACATCAACCGATGACTGTACAGACGTTGTCTCGTTGGCTTGGTCAACGGAAATGGCAGTGTGATCAAGAGCACAATCGTGGAGCTTACGGACGAAACGAACGTAGCTCTAGGGTTCTCTCTCCTTCCTGTAGCTTGGGCTGTTGGGGTCACCATTGGGTTCGTCTTGCCTCCTGCCCTCCTTCGACTGATGACCTTATATGCGCGCGCAGGCCGTTCCTTGGCGGCTTCCTCGCGCGCCCTCAAGTTCGCTGGCCTACTCTTTTCGGGCACTCGTTTTGGGCTGAATATCCTTATTTTCTCCCTGCGGCCGCGGCTTCTGTTTGCGTCGCGATTGCCTTCGTCGTGGTTGCCGCGTCCCTAGAAGAGGTATGTCGCTTAACCAAACCTACCAAATTGCAAAGCATGATAGTCGCGTAGACACTACCCTCCAAGAAAGCAAGCTCAAGAAAGCTGTCTCAGATGGAAGACGATACGAGCACCCTCATCGGGTCTCTGAGTGTCCACGAGAGTGCAGAGCCACTTGCGATCCTTTCCGTGGACCATTCACCTTCTTTGAGGGCGCTTCTGACCAAGCCGGTTCTACTCTCAGTCGCGAATTACGCAATGCTCTCCCTCCTCGAGATATCACTCCTTGTCTTGCAGCCCTTAATCTACTCTACTCCAATCTCGCTCGGCGGACTCGGCATGGCGCCTGCGGCCATCGGCACTGCCGTGGGCCTCCTAGGCATCCCGAACGCATTCCAGTTCACGTGGTTCCCGCCGGCCGTAGCGCGCTTCGGCCCGAGACGCGTATTCATCGCAGGTGTAGCGTCGTTCCTCCCCGCCTTCGTGCTATTCCCGCTTGCGAATCTCGCAGCGCGACAAGGAGGCCCTGACTCTGGCGTTGTGTGGACGCTTGTCGGGGCGCAGCTGGGGATGACTGTTCTGACGACAATGCCATTCGGTGCGTTCCCGCGCCTCGTCTCCACTCCAACGAATCTTGATGAAAACCACAGGCTGCATCTACATGTATGTCTCGTCCGCGGCGCCCACCTCCGACTTGCTCGGCGCGACGAACGGGCTCGCGCAGACCGTTGTGTCTGCGCAGCGCGCGATCGGCCCAGCAGTCGCCACTGCGCTCTTCGCGTTCTCCCTGGAGCACGAGATCCTAGGCGGAAATGGCGCCTACGTGGTCTTCGCCGTATTTATAGCCGCAACGCTCTGGCTTGCAGTGCAGCTCCCACCACAGCCCTGGAGACATCAAGGCTAGTAGAGTCAGTGGTTGGTGCGCGCTGCAGGGAAGCACAAGCTTGTCTGTACATTTATTTTGTCTGGGTCTAGATGTAGTTTTCTGTGAGCCTCTGTATTACGCTTTCTCTAATCCTTAGAGCTAACACAAAGCAGATCATACACCCTGATTGACGTGACGCGCAGCTGGATGTGACGAGCGCTCAACCCTGGTCATGGGGATACTCCCGATCGCACAACAACAGTCCGCCATAGCTGGGAGAACGTAAGAATCAGCGCGCGTAGGACAACACGATGTTGGTCTGGTCAAGGTACGCGAACAAGGACTAAACCAGCTAAATGGTGCTCGAAATCCCGTGTGCCTTGGCCAAACGCCACGACGATCGTACTTGCGGGCAGAGCCTTCCGCAGGGGTCGGTCCCTGTGCGCCAACTCCCTCCCGGCACCAATCAGCGTCGCGCAAAGTCAGTGCTTCCATGGAGCCAAGACACCTCCGCAGAACATGTGAAGGGCTAAGCGTCATACACGCCTTAGAGGTGCGCTCTCCACGAGGCAGCAAGACGTCGACAACCATTACAGACGCCTTACGTAAAGGCGCCGCACGCGGCGGCGACGACGACGCATAAAAGCCTGTGGGGACTCCGCGCACCTCGCCCGAACCGTCCGCGTCATGCGTTTCAGCTTCGCCGTTTTTGCGCTTGCGCTGCCTGCCTTGACGTTCGCTGCACTCCTTCCGCAGACGCAAGGTGTGATGCAGGCGGACGTGTGTTTGCCACATCGAGAGGCGTGTTGGTTAAACGAGGACTGCTGTAGTGGGTACTGCTTATTTGATGGCACAGAGAGAGGCAGCCGCGGGGTGCGTAGTCAAGCGCTACGTCGTTGATTCCTGGAACTGACCGATGTGCAGGAGTGCTCTGGCGGGACGGAAAACGGATGTGCAGAGGATAACGACGACGGAGAGTGAACGAAGCCAGGACAGCTCTTCACCCTTCTGAAATGAGCGTGACGTCGTGGGATGGTGTTACCTCACCGACCGGAGTGTAGCATGGGACTGTCTGGGATAGGAAAGGATGGACATATGGACAAAATTGTACTTGTGAACAATGGGACTCCTCCGTAGTTTCGGATGTCATTGAGGTGGCATCACGGGGCAATGACTTATTGTGCACCCGAGGTTCTCAAGCGGAGAAGTCAAAACGTGAGGATGTACAAACTGCTGTCTCGGCTTGGTGTGTTGATGTAAATTTGCTGGGGGAAATGGGCGTCAGTCGCTGAGGAAAGTGACAATATGAAGTGCACAAGAGCTCGGAAGACTGTGATGCGGTCGCCATCTGATCTGACAGATCTAATCTGGCGTTTAGCCCCGCTTCATGGCTGGTGGCAAGACGGCACCTGCGCTGCAGTAGCGCGGAGGCCCGCGATCGGCCTTCCCAGCGGTGTCTCCCCACTGCCAGTGAGCGAGCCAACCTGCTCGAATGTTCTGCTGGTGCGTCGTGCTTATGACTTTAAAACAGCTAATCGCCTCACAAAGAAACACACTAAATCTAAGCGAGCAGTCGGCATCAAGTACGCGCAATTCGGTCTCGCAGCGAGCGCCGCCTCACAAACAATTCAACAAGCCATTCTAGAGCAAATTAACACACGAGGAGCGCCCCAAGTCGCTCATCTCCACCTCCGAAGCCAAGCTCGACATCTACGAGACCATCCTGAGAAAGCAGAAGTACCTTGCTGTCGATGCACGCCCTCGATCTTGCTGCACTGAGAGGACCTCGTTCACAACGACCGCCACTGATGAAACGATCAGGAACAGGGGAGCGCCAGTACAGTAGG